ATCGTGAATTTATGTGAAAGATATGATTTTATGTGTCGTTTATGTTGTTCGGGATCTCTTCAATTATGTGAAATTGAACGAGACCTCAAAAGTCATGTAAGTCAGTGGATATTGGAACAAAGTCGAGTCCTTGGTCCTACGAGAAGGCCTCGGATGAGAAATTTCATGTTATGAATTAATTGCTAAGTTGTCGAGCATATATGTCGCTGTTTTGGTGTTTGAATTTTTAAAAATCGCACACTGCTCGAAATTACTTGAAATTTTTAGGGTGTTGTTCTCTGTTCAATACTAGACTTGTGTAAAAATTTCGTGATTTTTAAAAGCCTGTAGCTATTTTTATTAATTATAATGAAATCTGATTAGAGTAGTGTTAATTGAATAATAAATTCATTCGTGAAACAAATGAGCGGAAATACGAGTATGTCATGGTTCATCGATGTTTAAATGTTGTGTTAAAGTTTTAAAAGTTTTGGACTTGATTTGATATGGTTAATAAATTATTTATCAAATCTGTTGAAAATTATTTGAATTTTTATAAATCGGTTGTTTGATGAAAAATTCTGAAATTTTATTGAGATGCCTATTTTATGTGTAGAATCATGCTGTTAAAAGATGGGAATTTTTGGAATCCATTTTGATTCGGTTTTGATTTAAATTCTATAAACTGCTGAATATCTTATGAATTTTTAAAAATAGTAGCAGTTAATGTTAAGGGCTGAGATTTTTATACATAGACTTCAGCATGATGTATGTTGCTGTGTTAAATTTGCAAGTCCTGGTTCGTTCATTAAGTTCAAGTATAAATTGATGTTCCCGTTTTGTTGATATCTTGTTCGAATCTTATAAAATAGTGTATTTCGAGTTTGAAGCTGAAAATTTGTGGTTTTACATGTTTCTGGGAGATGTAATTTTGAATAAAAATTCAGAGCTTGATTCATAGGGTAACCTGATCATCTATTTTTATTCAGAGCTTGATTCATACGATGACTATAGCTCGGTTTGTGTTAGATTGAAGTAGGATATGCATGTGGTGAGTTATACTTTTGGACAACAAGGTGATTCTAAAAGTTAATAGTTTTTACCCCTCTGTAATGACCTTATCTGCTTTAGCCTTCTAAATGAAAGTTGTAGATCTGTCTCTTAGGTTTATAAGAAGGTAGGAAGAATGTCAATATGTTAAGTGTAGCATAAGATGTGACTTTATAAAAAAAAATGTTATGCAAGCAGTTTTTGAAAAACCGGGCTGAGTATATCATATTGATGTTTGGTCTGCAAGTGATGTTCTAACATGCTCAAATGTAAAATTGGTCTTCATGAACATTGTTGCTACATTTCTTGGCTGTCCATTGGTTTTTAAATCTGGTCAATTGGAGGTCTATAGCATGATTTAGACTATAAATACTGAAGTGCTATTTGTAAACTGAATCAAGTTTTGACAGATTTGATGACCCAAATGTTTTGTGTTTAAAACTGTTGATAATGCCTTTATTTGCCAATGTGGTCTTCAGAAAAGTTATTTATATTTGAGGTAGGTACATTTTGGTCTTTGAATTTCCTCAATAGCATGTATGTAGCTCTATTTGTGTTGAATATACTGAGGTTCTGTCCACTTTATGTTTCAGATTTTCCACAGCATCCCTGTTCCATATGTTTGATGATTTAAGACCTGCTAAATACCATTATTTGCTTCTGATGTCTTCATGAAAATTGTAGAGGCAGGTCTTACGATTTGTGTCAATATGAATTATGTGCTGTAAATGGTGTCGTCTTCAAAATCGCTGCGCAGTTATGTTTTGGAAATTTATGTGTTGTTTTCGAAAATCAAATTTATCTTTTTAATGCTTGCTTATATGAGCTATATGAGTCGGGTCTGATCACATGAATGTCAAAATAAGTGTGTCCAGTTGTGGAATAGTTATTTATAGGATTATTTTAATATATGTAGGTGCTTGACGAGTTGAGCTCTCCTTCCTACCAATTGTTGAGCTTTAACTCTTACTCTCGACCAGGTGGGTTTTATTTGAAAAAATTCTATGCATCAATTAATTGTTATTGTTGTGGTATGATCAAAGTATGCATGTGAACCATGTAGCCTTCGATGTGAGCTATATTGGTCGTCGAACGGTTATCCCCGTAGCTATAGAACGTACCCGATAGGGGTGTCTCCTTTATTTATGTATGGCAGTCAGGGCGTGAGCCTTGGCTGGTGATCCTCGATGTAAGTCCGAAGGGACGTTTCCGGGCATTCGAGGTGGATTTACTCTTACTGTCTGGGCATCGAATGTAAGGCCCGCGGGAGTTTTCGATACATGTCTCAGCAGTGGTCTATTGGTATAGGTGTGCACATGAGAGTTGACTCTGGGAAGGAGATGGGATATTAATTGATTTGTGTTCATACTGCGACCATACCTGCTTTATTTTATGAAATTTAATATTAATTATTGCATAGTGGTGAGCACCTCAATTTTCTATCGTGCTCATCCCCACCTTCTCTTCATGGATGCAGGTTAGTATTTGCGGGCACGACAGAGGAAAGCGAGTGGTGGTCGTGTTATCGCTTATTTCCGCTGCTTAAATTGCTTATGCATTCCTGACTTATTTTGAATACTGGATTATCGATAGGGAGTGTACTCCCTAGTATTTATGGATTTGATGAACCCAGTTTTGGGAGTTGATGTCATTTATGAACCCTGTTTGGGTGTTGACTATTTACGATGATTGAACCCGGTTTGGGTGTTGACTATTTATGATTATTGAACTCGTTGGGAATTGCATATGTGATATTGTTGAAATTGTTTTTGAAAAAGAGTAGTGCCTCAAGTGTTTTGAAATAAATTTTGAAAAATTTATTCTGAATTTCGGCAAGTAAAAGTGGGGCGTTACACGTCGCCTGTAAGACCAGGGCATGGGTCCTCGGCCGGCGATCAGTACCCTGATGTAAGCCCAAGGCAGATACCTTGGCCGTCGGGGGAGACTCCTACTGTTAGGGCATCGTTATAAGGCCTCAGTGAAGGCATACGATACATAGACCAGCAGTAGTCTATGCGTAAGTGCGCACATGAGAACGAACTTGGGATAGGAGATGGGATAGATAATTGATTCTTATACATGTTGCGACTATACCTGTCTTATATTATTTATTCTTTATGTGCATAGTGGTGAGCACTACGGATTCCATATTGTGCTCATCCCCACTTTTTCTTCCCAGAGTGATGCAGGTTAAGCAGGGTTCAGGCACGGCGAGGCGAGGCGAGTGGTGGTCGGTGTAATACCCCGTTCGAATATTGGATTTTTCGAATATTATTTATTAGCATTATTATTATTTGAATTAATTGTCTATTGTATTATTGCTCGACATTTTTCGTTTAGACTTATTATTGTTTAATTAGATGTCATCTAATTAATTTAATAAGTCGCATAATTCTATTTATCGTTCGTCGTCAATCAAATCGATCGGAAATTCTTGTTATCGCGTTGTGTTATCTGAACCGTTATTCTCTATTGAGCCTTAAGTATGATGATCAGCCCATGTGTTTACATATATTGGCCCTTTTGACCCTTCTACTTTCAGGCCCAATTCATTTGTTTTAAGTTTGGCCCAAATTTAAGTTAATTTTAGACCCAGTTGGAAATCGTCAGACCCGCACTACAAGAAATCTGTCGAACAGTGACGAAAATTCATGTGACGAAAAATAAATCGTCACCGTATGTTGCCTTACGGTGACGAATTTAATAAATCGTCACTACACCATTGCATACGACGACGACTTCTATATTCGTCATGTTAGACTTCTTTTTTCGTCACATAATGGAGTTTTTCGTGACAATGCAACTCAATTCGTCACATATACATTTAAATTCGTCACATGTATATAAAATGTGACGAAATTAGATGTGACAATCAAACTATCGTCACTGTTGATGTTATTTAAAATGACGCTTGCGACAAATTCGTCATTATATAATTATTTATTGTGACGATACATTATAATACATCTAAATTCGTCACAGTAATACGTATTGTGACGAAATTCATTACGACGAAAACAAATTCGTTGTTTTTCTTCGTATTTGAAATGACGCTTGCAAAAAATTCGTCATTATATAATTTTGTTTTGTGACGATAAACTATAAAACAACTAAATTCGTCATATTAATAGATATTATGACGAAAGTCACTGTGACGAATCAAAATCGTTGTGTTTTTTTTTTTGTGTAAAAAATGACGCATATGGATAATTCGTCATCATACAAATTTCATTTGTGACAATATGGTATAATGCATCTATATTCGTCACAATAATACGTATTGTGACGAAATTCACTGTGACGATAAAAATCGTTGATTTTTATTTATATTTGAAATGACGCTCACATATAATTCGTCATTATATAACTTTGCTTTGTGACAAATTTGTGTCAAAAGTGGTTTAGTAACAATCACAAAATTTATATTCGTCATTAAAATATGCCCTTTTATAACGTCTTCGACTTTTGTCACTAATATCTTATATTGTGTTACGACATCATTTGTCATTAAAATATGCCCTTTTACTCGAGAAATGAATGACAAACATGTAAAAGAAAAGCAAGATCGAATTCAATTTCTACAACTCAAGTCAAATAAAATCACTAAACTCAGGTTTTTGCACAAGAATCATCAACAGAAACTGGAAAACAAGAGATCTACTTAGAATGCATAAGAATGAGAAATACAAGAACTTGCTCCTTAACACCCAAGAAGTTAGCATAATAACATGAATAGCCTGCAGCTACACCTAAGAGAGAGTTAAAAAAAAAAACACAGTAAAAGGATAATCCTTGATAAGCAAAACATTCTACGTTCTCAGTTACTAGAACAAACCTCTTCATCCTCTCTCCTTTTTCTTACAGTGATAGTAGCAATATACTTTGGCTCTTCCCATATACTTTTATCAAACAAGGACAAAAGGAAAAAAAGAAAAAAGGTTCTCCATGACCTCAAGCACAAACTATATTTACTAAGATTTGAGAATTAGATACCCTTCTCCCACAACATGAACTTGATTGTCAATCATCATCTTGTTTACAAGCAAATGAACCTTATCCCTTGCTCGAACACTCGACTGTAAATTACAAGTTTCAGATGAAACCCAAGAAGGACTGTAATCATGAAATGAGTTCTCTGGATTTAGATCTCTTGATAGCCCTGAACATGATGCAGTTTCGTAGTAACATTCTTCCCAGATTTAAAGCCTGCAAAAGAAAATCACGCTGAAATCTCGGATTCGACATTATCGAATCTTTTTTAGAGTAAAGGTAATAATAATAGATAATAAAGAGAAAGAGGTACAAAAGGGATGCAACCAAGAAGTACAACATAAGTATTCAACATATATTCAAAGGAAATCTATCACATTTGAAAGGGTTTCATCATCTGGAAACAACTCCAAAACTTCTACTGAGATTTTTAAAGACAAATAAAAACTGACCCACAAGAAAACTCCAAATTCAAAGTAAGTGAAAGCTTCACTTATCAAATCATGGAGCGAAGGAGGAAAAGACAACCATATCCAGTAAATCTGTAACTTATCAAACATATTGTTAAAAGACAAATTAGGGAACTTTAACCATATATTGTCAGATGATTAATCATATAATTACAGATCAAAGGAGCAACAGTACTCTAAATTAGTCAAAATCTAAAGAAATTTTCACAAAAATATATAAAAATTATTTTAAAAGAAAATTTTCATCTTCTTGGAAACATTGGGCGGTTTAAAAAAAAAAAATATATATATATATATCTCCAAAAGAAATGCTAGGATTAAAGTCATGTGTTCCACTTTTCCCTTATCAACCTTAATTAAACTTTTAAAGGGCAAGCAAAAACTACAAACCAAAAAAGGCGAATTCTAAGGGTAAATAAAGACATAAGCATGGAGAAGCAACTTACATAGAAGCATAATCATACTAAAGAGATTTATAGCTAATACAGTAAAAATCCGATAAAGGCAAAGTGAAAAAAAAAGGTACCCAAAAAAGTGAGACTGTCCCTTGAATTGACCTTTGTAAGCGGGACATCTGCTTCCTTGCCTCCAACTCAGTTTCAACCATTTGAATAAGCATTTTCTCGGTTTCAATTTTCGCAACCTACACACAAAAGTAATGACTTATAACACCAAATAATCACATAGAAATGTCAAAATTAATTGTGCTTAAATCACCATTCTTTACCACATTTGGACATATATTTGGTTTATTTAACAGTACATAGATAAAAAAAAAATAAATTATTAAAAGTTTAATACTCCCTCCATCCCATAAAGATGAGCCTGGACTTATGACAATTTCCACACAGTTTAGCATGACAAAATCTTTGTTGCTGGGAAGTAAAAACCAAATGTGTACCCTCTAAACTAATTATCATAATTTTCTATGATTCTATTTATTGGAACTTAAACATTATCCATTTACAGTAGCATACGTTGTGGGACACCCAAAATAGCAATGTGACTCATCATTGTAGCGTGGAGGGAGTATTACTATTACATAGTAATTGATTTATATGTAAATACATCATTCGAATATGAACAAAATATTGCATTTAAAATATAAGAATTCAAATTCGGATTTCCTGTGTACAAATTACCTGGACATTCCCGTGAGGATCTCTCTCGAGCATCAATTGTTCCTGAATTGCTGGTGGTAGAAAATCAAAAAGCTCCAGACACTGGGGGCTAAGCTTCTTTTTCCAGACCCCAGCCTCATCCACAACTTCATGAGCCAAAATCTCGTTTAGTTCTGCAATTATATATTTGGGTCGACGAGAAATTAACGTACAAGATTCTTAAACCGGTAAGCAGTCCAAAGGTATCGGGTATTTGACCACTAATTTTAGTATGAGATATCGTCCTATCATAATAAACCAATCAATAGAAATAATGTGAGATAAAATAAGATTAATCTGATTAAAGAGCACTCACCATTAATCTTGTTCACGCGCGAGTAGAATTATTCCAATGTAAAATTGCAGCAAATGACAGCAAATGATGATGAACATACATTTTAGTCCAAATCAATTAAGTACATTAAGAGGTCAAGTAAATTTACTACCGTGAGAAGAAAACGCAGACAAGATCCACAAATGAGATAGATAGATAGGAATACAGTGATGTCTTTTTTATTTATAAAGATGCATGAATTACATCCTTATTATGTGTTGATATTTATATAGATTCATGAATTACATCCTGTGTTTTATCTATAAAGAAACACATGCAAACAGACATGATACACAATCATGTTTTAGAGCTTAATGGATATTTAATTAGTAGGTTCATCTCTAGCTGGATTGTACTTGTGGTGTTCATTCAATGCTTAACGGCTATATATATATATACATACATACATATATATATATATATATATATGTCCGATATTATCTTTGAATATTTCACGTTACATGTCAATGCATATACATGATATACATTATCATCTCAAATATTTATTCATCTGATGTTTGCATATATAATTATAGACTATTAATAGTTATTAGTAGTAATAAATATTGAGTTTTACATAGTTACTAGTTAGTACCTAGGGGCAAGATTGTCTATTTCAAAATTATGTTCAAAGTCATGTTTCGTTTAATTGGATGAACGACAACGCGAAATCTTTCCCTCAAAACAAATTCCTATAAAACTAAAGAAAAGGTCTTAATTCATTACCTACTGCGGTTGAAATTAATTAAGTAGACTAATTAATGATAGCTCTGTTTTCCTGTTTATTTAAAAAAAGATTGGTTGTGAAATTAATTGAAAGGCGCATGTGCTACTGAGTAGTAGTAGGAAGGATGGTTAACAAACTTAATGATGTAACATCAGAAAAAGATGCCTTTAAAATCAGTGGTCCTAAGATTTCAGTTCCAGACAACAATACTAATGGAACAATGCCCATCAAGCCTTTTAGAGTGAGTTCAATATTGGGCTGTTTCTTACATATCAACAGATTCAAAGTGGGGGTTCACATAGTCTTACTTTGTTTGTTTTATCAGACAAGTCATATATATTCTGAAAATTTATCTCCTATTCAAAAATTACATCCTTATAATGTGTTTTATCTATAAAGAAACACATGCAAACAGACATGATACACAGTCATGTTTTAGAACACGTCAAATTCAAAATGTTATACTTGAAATTCATCCACCTCCGTTTGCTGTGAACAGAAAGAAAAAAAAAAATTTAATCCTAGGTATCAATGTATATTATAAAAAAAATTTAATCCTAGGTATCAATGTATATTATAGTTTGATGAAGTTGGGGTAGATGCATTTGTTGGGATCATTTTCATTTACTGGGCTTGTTTCAACAAAAAGTTCTTAAAGGGAGGTATTTTTATAAATCTGATTTCTTTGGTGTCAAGCATCATAGTAATGATTCTTGGCTATGGTGTAGTCGGCTAAAAGTTAGGGCTTCATTTCTGAAGAGGGTGAGATGGCAAATTGGGGATGGAACTTCTGTCTCAATCTGGAAATCTCCTTGGATTCCAGGAATCACTGATTTCAAACCACCATATGCTTTTCTGAGCGATAAGGCAGCTTTATGTATAGGTAATGACCTGTTTGTTCGAAACAGTAGGGAATGGGATGTAGAACTTGTTGAGCAATGTTTCCGTCCATTTATAGCCTCTCAAATTTTGAAAATTCAGTTAAGCCAGTTCAGAATGAAGGACAAGATGATTTGGGATTTTGATAAAAAGGGGTGTTTTTCTGTGAAGTCAGCATATGGCAGGTATGAAAACATGGACTCAGGGAGCATTGGTAAAGCCAGTACTAGCTATATTGATACAAAAGGGAAACAAATGTGGAAGGTAACCTGGCAAATGCAAATTTTACCCAAACTCAAAACTTTTATGTGGAGAGTGCTTAATGGTTTTCTGACTAACACAGACAAGCTGAGGAGTAAAGGCATGGAGGTTGACAATATCTGTATTTTGTGTGGAGAAGCTGAAGAGAAAATAAATCACCTCTTTGTTACTTGTTTGAGGAGTGCTAGATGTTGGAAATTGTTGGGTGTCACCTGGGAGGATTTTTAGACAGATAACACATATCTCAGAGACTGGTGGGAGAGGATTTGTAGCAACAGATTTGGTACACATATGAAGGCTAGAAGATCATTATCTGTATGCTTATTGTGGAGGATTTGGAAAGATAGGAATAATCAGATGTTCAGAGGGGAAAAGATGACTATGTTCCCTCCCTTTACTGGTTATCATACCAATTCGCGGAGCGAGTACCCGACACAAACAGAGAACAAAGTCAAAAGAAAGAAAATTCAGAGTTCCGATACAAAGCGTAAAAGCATGAACGGTTGACAAAATCGAGGAAAAATAGTCACTGCTCCTATGTCTCAGCGATAGAGTCGTCTGGTAAGGAAGCATCAAATTGGCCTACTGTGACACAACTTTAGAAGCGAACTAATTCAAGAGGCATCCTCGGGTTGATTCCCGAAAATCGAAATTCTTAATCGGCGGCAGGAACTGGATCCTTTGGTTCGTTCGCTTTAGTCGCTCTTCTTAGCTAGCCTCTGTTTCGGACTAGACGGGACTTTTATCAATTTGAAGAGTTAAATGTGGTTAAAGGAGCAGTAAGAGATTGGAATGAGATGTTCAGTGCAGCATCCCAAACCCTGAAGAATAACACTCAGATAACTACTGCTATAAGTGGTGATCCTGAGGAAGAAGACTTTTCCACGAAGGTAGGGCTTGTATGCTTACAAATCAGTGCCTTAACTTCTTTTGAAGGGACAGCTTCTTCTGGTGTAGTGGCTACAAATCAAGGGGAAGTGATACTGAAGCAAAGTAATTACTGGACTTGGACAGCAAATGACACAGAAGATATTCTCAAAGCAGTGAGGTGGGCATTAAACATTGCAGCTGATCAAGAATGGCCAAGAGTGCATCTGTCTAATAAAGTGGTTGCTGCTATTAATAAAGGCAACATATATTTCAACTGAATTTTGACCCAAACAAACAGGTAAAACGAGTCAACAACCAACAAAGTGCAATAAAAAAACGAGACTAAATGAGAACAATGAACTGCAGGAGCAATAATTGGCCTCTTTTTAATCCAAATTACTTACTCAATATTGATATGAATCCATGAATATGTCATCAAAAAAAGAGAGTACCTTTGCTGCAAGAAGAGAGATACGGAGACGAATCTGTAAGAGGCTATATATGTCGCTACCCGCTACGTCGATCCGTGGAAAATAAGATCGCAACTCGATCTGATGCCCGAAAAATTGTAAGATGAGAGTGCGAATTGAGTTCAATCCTGTGTGAATTCTGAGTCCGAATTCTGTGTGAGTGCAGGAATTCTGCGTTAGGATTTTCAACTGAATCTTTGGATTTTCATAAAGAGATTTTGAAAAGGATAGAAGATTTTCGATGTTGAGGTATTGAGAGTTAGAATTCCCAATGAGTTTTTAGTTAACTTTTTCTTTTTCCAAACAATAAATTCATTAACTAAACTCAATTTTACACAAATCGATAACCAACGGGTTACTAATAATTCGCCGATCAAGACAGGCCTCGAAAACTAATCAGGGAATACTCATAAAGAGTTAGTAACGTTATCAAAAAAAGAGTGAGGGAATTTTAATTAACACTTAGAGATTTTTGAGCTCGAGTTCGACTATATTTTTTAACATGTTCATTAAATATTCAACCAAAAATTTTCATTCGTGTTTGTTCGTTTCTTGGTTCGACAAGTTCGCGTTCATAACACAATAGTGTTATCGAACTATAATGTTTGGTTCGAATTTTTAGATTTTAGTTAGATTATTTTCTTTTAGTTTTAAATTTTTAGGTATTTCGGGCAAATAAATAAATATATATATATAATATATATATATATATATATATATATATATATATATATATATATATATATTATTACAAAATATTAAAATATCAAATCTCAACATCAACGGTAAAAAATATTATGGATTTTTAAAATTTTTGAAAATTTAATATGTATATCTATACACATCTATATCTATATAATGAATTTTCGATCATATATTAGCCATTAGGTCGTTTCACCTTAGTTTTTAGTATTTTTTATTTTTAGTTAGTATAGTTTGTTTTGTTTTTTGAAAATCTTGAAGAGTCCACTTAAACACATGAGCATAAAGTTTTTGCCTTCATTAGTTTATTTAATTGATTCATAATTATACAATTATAATTTCTGAAGGCATAACGGGTTAATTTTATTGTTAATGTTTTATTTCTATATCGTATGCTGTTTTCTTAAGAATAATGATAATGTATCATCTTTGTCGAAACATTGCTTCATAGAAAGTTCCTACAACTTACTATAAATGCAACAACTATTTTTGCTTCATCATACATCCCAATTGTTAGTCTTCCTTTTTATTTTTTAGACTTATATATTATTATTAAATATTTTATTATTGATATGTGAAAATAATTTTGTATTTCTAAATAATAAGTTAATTAAAATCATATTAAATTTCATGCAAAATAAGTTTTAGCTATTGACCTAACATTGACGGTGCTCATCTTGATTATTTTTTTAATATAATATTATAAAAATAAAAAATACAACTTTAAAGAATATAATAAAAAATAATTTGATATGTATAGACATATACTTTTTTTTTGTACAATGAGATGAACTTATATTTTTATAGTTTGTATACAACATAAAAAAGAATTGATTTAGTGTTCGAACATAACATCTAATTTAGTCTCATTTATTGGTAAACAATATAAGATTTTTTTTTTGTATTACATTACAAAAAATTTTCAAAGTGTTTTATTATAATTATATTGAATTATAATTCTCATTGGTTTCATGCACAAATAAGTATTTTAATATTACATTGAGTTAAAATTCTCATGAATTTCATGCAAAAAAATAAATATTTTAATTTGAGTTACTGATTCTATTTATAACTTTATAAAAAACGATCATCTTTCATGTCATTCTCTAATCATCATCGCACTTATTTTGTAAAAAACGAAAGGTTGAGATTTATTTTGTTAATAAAAAGTAAAATATATGTAGACTTAATTTAAAATTAAATACATGCAGATAGAAGTTATTTTTATTTTTATTAAATATTTAATTTATATTTATAAATTTTATTTTTCTCATCTTCGTACATGTTAACATTAATTATTCAATATTAGTTTATTTGTACAATAGTAATCATGACTTTATTTTCTTTTTTCAACTATGAAAATTATGTTATCACATATAGAGTTTTATGAAAATTTTTGAAAAAGTGTCATTAATGTGACCAATAATTTATTTCACGGTATATCAAATATTTTTGTCAGCTTAAAAATTTAATTTTAAAAATTTAGAAAAAAAAATTATATTGGATTTTATTTTTTTTTGTTAATTGTTATTGTTTCTAGAGTCATGATTCATGTTGTCTAATTATTGTTATTACTATTGGTTATAACGAACACAATTCATAATATTAATGTTGTATTTGTGGAAGTATTTTTAAATGTATTAATAAAAAAATTATTTTACATTATCTCAATAAAATTTTTAAAAATATTTTTTTTATTAAATTGTCATTCATTCACATCATTTTTAATATTAGGCTACTAGTATTATTTTACATACCTCATTAACTCTACTAATTAATAAACTAAAATTTAGAGTGTGCCATTAAGAACAAAAAAAAAATCACATCATTTATACCCAAAAATATCAATATATATCTTTCTTGCCTACATCTCATCCGTTCTTCTTCCCCAATTCCTTCCTAACACAAAAAACACAAAACCTACAATTTAGATCGCTATCCGCTAAGGTCGAACTATCTCGACTCGTTTTTAATCCGAAGGCTGCAAATTGGTTTGGATTCACCAATTGAGGAGCAAATTTCACGAGGTAATCTGAATTGAAACCTCCGCCTTGATGCGTCTGCCACTTGCTGCTAGATATCGGCGGCGAGGACGAGGACGGAGACGGAGATCGTGCGTGATCGAGGTCGAAGAGGCAGCTGAGGGTGAGGTCGGGTATGGTGCGGACGGACGGCCCGGTCTGCATTGGTGACGGAGCAGGTGTTGTGGCTGTCTCGATGGAGGTCTGGTCGTAGGTCACGGTGGTGCAGAGGCTTGCCAGAGACATTGTCACGCCCATGGTCATCGGACACGGCACCACAGGTTTGGAGCTTTCATTTTCTTCGCATATCAATCGGCCTGTTTGTTGGTTTTTTAGGTGTTTTCGCATATCAATCGGGCTGTTGGTTTTTTAGGTGTTAAGATAAGATCTGAAAAGGGTATTATGGTGAACTTTGGATTACTAAAACATTGGCGGACAAAAAATTTGCTTTGGCGCTCACTAGTTAGTTTAATTTTGGTAATCTTATATATTTAAGGTAGATAAACACTGAAATTATTTTGACCGTATCTTCAGCAAAAATCTCTCCCCCCTTTCACTCATATAAGTAAAAGTTTAGGCTAACAATTATCAAAGTCTCAAAGATAATCCGCCTTCTATTATACAGCAATCGGTTGTTCTGGAAGAAACTCTCTCGTAGTATCTTGGTTCTTTATGTTATGCCTTACATCAATTTGTTTCTATTTTACATCAATGAATCAGTTATGCATTACTTTTCATTCTGATGGATATATATTTTTTTTTTTTTTTTGCCTGATACAAAAGGTTTCAAATGGCTCCTGGATTAGTTCGGAATTCAAGAACAAAATTCATACCGAATTCTCGGCAGAGTCTCATAGATCACATGACGAAGACAGGAAGTTTAGCAAGGGATAAAAATCGGCAATCCGAGAAGACTAATATGGGAGTAGATAAAGTGAACAAAGGATTGCCATTAACCGATGGTTTGTCTATAGGAACCGAAACTGCAAATCCCACGTTTGGGGGCAACCTGCCAAATGGTCAGACTCCTCAAACTCAGCAAAAGGAGAGTACTTTTATGCCAAGTATCCAATCTCCTCAAACTCAACAGAAGGAGATGACTCTTGAAGGTACTCAGCAAAATGAAAGCACTCCCGATCCTCCATCACATCAGGGAAATCAACATTCTCAATCACAGGAAGATATCATTGGTACATAGCTAATACTCTAAAATTTTTATTGTGTTGTTGTGTTGTTTCATTAACTGTGTGTTGTCGTGTTGTTTCGTGAACTGTGTGTTGTGTTGTTTCATGAACTGTTTTTTCATGTACTGTGCATCATAATGCAACTCTAGAAATTTGTCTCAGTATAGTATGCTATTTGCTGGATAATTGGTTTCTGCAAACAAGTCTTCCATTGAATGCTTGTTTATCTTTATATTTATGAATTCATTACTATCGTTTGTTTTAATTAGGCGTGGTATCGGTGGTATCGATTCGGTTACAGTTCTTACCGATACCAAACCGCTAATTTCGGTACCAATAAATGTGAAACTGAAACCAAACCGACTTGTGGTCGGTAACCGAGCTTTCGGTTATCGAAAACTAGGTTCGGTGTCAATTTTGTACCAAAAAAAACTGAAAAAAAAGTGAGCTATCAGTAACATTGGCTCTGCTTGACTGCTTGAGTGGCTTAGCTGTTCGTCTCACCTGTGCAATACATGTTATTAACAAACTGAAGGATATGGGCTTCTACACTTAGTCTCTAATCTATTTGTGTATTGCATATATGATATAGTCCTTATATGTTAAGGTCTTATTATGAAGTAGTTGAGAGTTACTGTATAATAGATGATGCTTGAATAGTGGGAATTGGGCATGTTGCTACTTACTACATTGTATTTGATTGGTAGGATGCTTGGAATATGGATTTATTATATTCTATTGCATTTGTTGAACAATTGGCATATAGAGAGAATATTTGATAAGTGAATGAGTTTATTCGCATCCAAAATTGTCTATATTTTTTCTAGTCAGCTACCTTTCAGCATTATTTCAGTTTTT